GAAAGTGCATCACCGGAAATTCTGAAATAGATTCAGAAATAATGCGAGCACCAGGACTTGAACCCTGGTAGGCTGGAGATACCACTGTCTCTTCAATCATCCAACCATAGGTTGGTTCGCTTTTTTGGTTCCATTTCTATGGCTCGTGTGGGCTGTAGAAGCGCCTTCATTGGCTGCAGGAGAAAGCCCGTGAGCTTGTTGTCTTTAGCCGCGTCGCGCTCTGTCTCATGATGTACTGCCATGACAATGTTGAGCCGGTGCTCTCGTCGTCTGGAGGCGGCCCCCGTCCTGCTACAACGGTACAAGGAGCTGACAGGGTCAAAGCATGTGCTAGACAATGCAGGCTTCTTTCGAAAGATGTGGGCAAGACGAATGGGGAACTCCTTAGTCCTTACCGACAACCAAAAAAATCATAACAGGGAGATCAACAACCTCATCAACTACATGTACGCCGTCCGTTGTCCGAGCTTAAGCGCATCGGTTTTTGGTAAGTTGTTTAAGCTCGGACGACGGATAGCGTGAAGGTAGTTGATGAGGTTGTCAATCTCCCGGTCACAGTTCTTCTGGTGATTGGTGAGCAGATCCCATTTTGTTTCATACATCATCTTCATGAGGAAGCCCGTGTCATCAAACACATGCTTTGACCCTCTTTGCTCCTTGTACTGCTGCAGCGGGACGACGGCCATCAGCTTGACTTTGTCATGGTTGTACACCACGAGGCAGGGCGAGACATCACAGAGGCGCAGCCTTTCTTTTGAATCCCAATCGCGCTCTTATGCTTCTTCTCGTCACCGATCCATGGATCTTGACCTTCCCCACACCAGCCATGGAATGGAACTAAACAAAAGAGAAATAAGAAAGTTGTGTGTGAGAGAAAAGACGGACAAGGTATCATTTTATAGCCAAAGGCCGATGGACTGTATGGAAAATTATAATTGTTGGGCAAATACGCGTGTGAATTCAAAAGATTTTTAGTATCCTCGCAACAAAACCTTTGTTCCCAAAATAAATAAGTATGTGAACCCTTCAACTATGTTTATAAATCAAAAGTATCGTGTCACATGTATGTATCTACCTTTCTCTTCAAATAAATGTATATATGTATGTGATTAACAAGAGTGAACTCTTAAAATAAACCTTGAGAATGTACGGTTCGACGTGAATGAATCCTGACGTGCAAATTCCTGAAGTTTGTACCCTCTACTTTGCTTTGTACCCACTACTTGGGTTTTAAACCTTGTATAGGCATATCCAAGGGGAATTTCTAAGTGACACCCGGAAAGGCTAGGTTCAGTGGGGTCGCGCTCCAACTTGGGTTTGTTAACCCATTTTTACTTAGAAAACTTCATTATTTTGATTTGTTTAAGTTTTAATTTCATTTTTATTTTATTCTATGAGTAATATCAATTCCACTAATTCATTCCTTCTTAAGAAACTTCCTTTTTGCAAAAATCCCAGTATGTACATATAGATCATTCATCACATAGAGAGTTTTGATAGAGTAAGCATCCATCTTACACCATCTTTAGACAATTGGATCCAAGCATCTTAAAGCACATGTTACACAAAACATCACACAAGAACACTTTCAAAAGTCCCAAGAGAAAGTCTGACATATCTGAATTATATCGAGTTCAGTACAGCTCCAGAAGGAGGGTCAATTTATTGTGCCCGAATCCTGTCTGATATATAGAGCACCAAGCCGCATGCTCGGCGAGCAATCTCGAAACGAATGAAACACAATCCAGCTGGTACATTTTATAGACTATAGATAGAGGATAATAATGTAGTTGCTTCGTTGCGTTTTCTGATCAGCCTCGACCTCCGAGCTCTCACTTCACTCGTCGAACACCTTGCACTCCACGGCGTTGGGGTCGGTCTTGCAGTAGTCCTCCAGCGGGTCGCCGCTGCCGCCGGTCCCGGCGCCCGGCCACTTGGCCGCCACCAGGTGCGCCAGATCAACCACGCGCTGGCTGCACACTCACACGCCAAAACCAGCCACAGGTTAGACATCATGTTTACAGATGCATGCATGTAATTCCGCCGTCGATGATTGTCGCTCACCTGTAGCCCCACTCGTTGTCGTACCAGGCGACGACCTTGACCATGTCGTCGCCCATGACCATGGTGAGGGAGGCGTCGATGCTGGTGGAGACGTCGGAGCAGCGGAAGTCGACGGACACGAGCGGCTCGTCGCAGACGTCGAGGATGCCCTTGAGCGGCCCGTCGGCGGCCTTGCGGAACGCCGCATTCACGTCGTCGGCGGTGATGCCGGTCTTGACGGTGTTGATGACGAGGTCCACCACGGAGACGTTGGGCGTGGGCACGCGGAGCGCGATGCCGTTGAGCTTGCCCTTGAGCTGGGGCAGCACCAGGGAGACGGCCTTGGCCGCGCCCGTGCTCGTCGGCACGATGTTCAGCGCCGCCGCCCTCGCCCTCCGCAGGTCGCGGTGGGACGCGTCCAGCAGCCTCTGGTCGCCCGTGTACGAGTGCGTCGTGGTCATGGTGCCCTTCACGATCCCTGCACGCACGCGGTCACCACGGGACAGTCAGAACTGGTTCAGAACTTCAGACCAGGATGAAAAAAGTGGGACGAACAGATTCATACCGAACTCCTCGTCCAGGATTTTGGCGAATGGCGCGAGGCAGTTGGTGGTGCAAGAAGCGTTGCTGCAAGGAACAGAGTTGATCAATTTGGTCCATGTAGTAGGAGTGACTGATTGCACTAGAATATTGCGATTCATACCTGACGATGTTGGCGACGTCATGGTCGTAGTCGCCCTCGTTGACGCCGACGACGTAGGTGGGGATGTCGGCGCCCTTGGCCGGAGCGGTGATGATGACCTTCTTGGCGCCGGCCTGGAGATGCTTCCCGGCGCCGGGGCCGTCCACGAACACTCCAGTACCCTTCAGTGTTGAGACACGACACATACGTTCAGCGTGGCACTGTGAATTTCCTTTGGCTCTACATGGGAGGGGAGGTTAACGATAGAGAATTACGTACCTCGATGACGATGTCGATGCCGAGCTCGGCCCATGGCAGCTTGAGGGGGTCCCTGTTGGAGACGACCTGGATGTTCTTGCCGTCGACGCTGATGGTCTCGTTGTCCACGATCTTCACGTCCGCCTTGAACGTGCCCAGCATCGAGTCGTACTTGAGCAGGTGAGACGCCTGCAACCAAACCAACCCGACCATGTTCATCATTTCAGAACTGCTGCCCTGTCTGCTCCTCCTAATCACATAGCACAGTCTACGTTATCTTGAACACTTACGTTCCTGACGCCTCCGCTGTCGTTGATGACGATGACCTCGAGCGGCGAGTTCTCGCGGCCGTGCCAGCACCGGAGGAAGTTGCGCCCGATGCGGCCGAACCCGTTGATGGCCACCTTCAGCTTCGCCTCCGCCGGCGCCCTCACGGCGTTCTCGCCGGAAGCCTGCCACGATCAACCTGTTAAGCCGGACGGCATGCGTGCACAAACATATATACAGACCGATCTGAAGTTCTGGGCAAGATACGTACCCTGGCGACGAGCTGCGCGCCGAGGACATCGGAGAAGGACGCCTCCCTGGCGGCGGCGCTGACGGAGCACGACCCCGGCCTCAGCCCGGAGAAGTCGGCGAAGTCAACCCTCTGCCTGGAGGCGGCCTTGCTGTGCAGACGCGCGCTGGTGGGGATGCGGGTGGCGGCGAGAGCTGCATGGGCGGCCATTGCTGCTGCTGATGCTAGGCGGAAAGGAGCAGGTGGTGCGCCGGCTTATTTATGTGGCCGTTGATCCATCGGGGAGGGAGGCGGCGTGATCACTGCTTGGGTTTGTGGCGTCGGGACGGCCGGAGGATAAGGCGATTGCATGTGCCGCAGCCACCCGTTCGGCCAGGCGATATCCTCCCCGGTGTGTGGTGTCGCTCGCCGTCTCTCGTGATGTGAGTCGGGGAGGGTGGGACGTGCGTGCGTAGGGCCATTGTTTTCCTTGTACCTTTTTGGTGGTGTTATCCAGGTTCGTTTGGAGCCATCGGCACGGAGATGATGGATATTATTTGATCCAGTGATCAACAACCACGGGACAAGGATTGCGTTAACCCTTTCGTAGGTGTAGCATTACTTCAAGGAAAATGTCCTGGGGTGTGGCTGCTAGTGGACTAGACTATAGCCCCAATGTTCTTGGTTTCAAGTCGAATTTTCAAACGAGGATGGGATCATCCAAAATTGGCATCGATTGGCAGCTCACACAAAATTCAAGCTAAATCATTAATTCGACGCTTCACTCATTAAAAAAATTCTGATCCAAGTAGGACAAAAGAAATAATATTCGCAAAATAAGGAACAAAAGAACAATAACCCATTTTTTGGACCTGATAAATCCCGAACGTTCGGATTTTAAGCATGTCATCCCGAACATTTTTTAGTTGACGCGAGGTGGCAACTTTAGTTGTTAAGACATGATAACTTTGTCCTAGTTTATTTTTTTGTTAGAAAATTGCCATGTTTGCAATCTCACGTGAGCTAAAGTTGCCATTAAAAACGTTCGGATTGCCATGTTTAAAATTTGAACATTCGGGATTAATCATTTTGATTTTTTTTAGGGTTGCGTCGTCATGTACAACAGCGAGAGAGCATGGAACAAAGGAAGAAGAAACATGCCCGGGAGGGGGGAGGGGGAGCCGGGGTTAAGGGCAAACTCCAACGCATGGACACATTTTATCTGTTTTTGTCTATTTGGATTCGTGTAGGCAGAAATGATGACTCAACATGCGAACACAAACTCAATTTTGTGTAGGGTGGTCGTGCGGATACAAAATTGTCCTAACTTTGGCCCGGGCTTGCGTCTACATGGACATGAGGACACGAGACGGACACGCGCACACGTTTGCCCCGGCCCCATGTGTCAGCCACCCAACTACACCGTTGCTTCTTTAAAATGCGTGCGGGGGAGGGGGGACCACCACGCTCACTCTTTCCCTCTCTCTGCCCCCAGCCGCCTGACAACCAACCCTACCCACCATGTCCGGTCACATGCCTCGGAAGTGGACGCCCGAATCGCAGGAGCACAAGGCCGACTCCTCCTCGTGCTGCTGCGTGGCGGTGACCTTCACCTTAACATCACAAGGTGTCGCGCCAACCGAGCGCGACTGCATATACATTCCCCTCGACCTGTGTCAGCACTACCAGGAGAATGCCATCTCCGTGCCATGGCTGGACGTCGACCTGTCGCACGGATGGCATTTGAATCCGGATATGGTTCTAATATCGTTGGTGCCGGGAACAGGACACGCACGAGAGGTATATGCACACTGGCTGTGACCGAGAGCTGGGATCCATGGACCTCCAAACTTCCTGGTCAGTAGCCTTCTGGCTGACTATTGAACGAATGCTTTAAGTCGAATAAAGCTCCTAAAGCTCCCCGCAAAAAAAGAGAGTGCAAGTTTATTGTGCTTTTCAAAGAGAAAAAAAATATGATTTGACCTTAACTTGAGACTTCTATGAAACATAAATGTATTCATAGAAAATTTGTTTGGATTTATTTTTTTGCAAATTATAGAGGTTTATTTTTATTCATCGGGGTGAACGTCAGGATATAATTTAGGCATAGTCATCGAGTGCATCTGTTATATATTTTTTGAAAACAGTATAATTGAAGTTGTTCACATATACAAGTATACACTCACCTCTATAAACGCACGGATGCACACCCTAACTTTATGAGCACCCCCAAGAGACTGAACGGGAACATCTTCTCCCACTGAACGAATATCGTCAGAAACCTGAAATAAAGCCAGGAATAATGCGAACAATAGTCTCAAGTCTAGCACTGAACTCTGGTGGGCTGATGATATCACTGTTCTCCTGACCATTCAACCATAAATTAATTTGCGTACTGCCATGATGTGTGATACATAGATTTGAAGTTTTCTTTTTTTATAAAATAACCTGAGATTCAAATTGTGTAGAATTCCTAAGAAAATCCTCCTACTCGAATCTGGATGTAATTTTTATTCTTTCTGATGTTCGTTGTACTGCCTTGATTGAATATAAACAGATTGAAAGTTTTTCAAAAAATGGATCTGAAGTTTTTTTTAATATAAAATAACTTGAGATCCAAATTAGGCACAACTGCTACGAAAATCCTATGACTGACCTCAGACTCGAATCGAGAACCCGAACCTAAACGCAGACCCGGTACTCTTTTGCCGACCACGGCACGCACCAAACCTATTAAACCCCTGTACTCCTCCACCGCCGCCGCCGCCATTCGCCGCCGAAGGTCTGCCCCGACCCCCCTTCCCCGCGCCCCCCGCCGCCGCCGCTGCCCCGCGCCCCGTCGAGCTCGCCAACATGCTGCAGAGCAAGTCCTTCGTGAAGAAGACGAAGCAGGGCCGCGTCGTCAAGGTCGCCGCTCGGCACCACAACCTCCGCCTCGCCGAGGCCCCGCCGAAACCCTAGCTAACCCCTTCCCCCCGTCTGCGCAGGTGGTCCGGGAGCACTACCTCCGCGACGACATCCCCTGCGGCGCCTTCTCCTGCTCCTCCTGCGACGCGGCCGCCCGCCGCCTCAACGCCGACGCCGCCGCCATCCTCGTCGTCGACACCAACGTCGTGCTCCACCAGGTGCCCCTGCCTTTCCTGCTCCCACCTCTGGTCTCGTATTTAGCGTGCCTTGTAGGGGGTCGGGGGTTCCGATTGCTGATGCTCCGTGCGGTTGCTGCAGATCGATTTGTTGGAGAATCCGGCGATTGAAGATGTCGTGGTGCTGTCGGTGGTGCTGGACGAAGTGAAGAATAAGAACCTCTCCGTGTACAACAGGCTCAAGACCCTGTGCACCAACACGGCTCGGAGGTTCTTCGTGTTCACCAACGAGCACCACAGGTACGCCTGAATTGGTTCTCCATGGTTGTTTTGATTGGTCAGTAGGCGTGAGTTTAGGCTCTGGTATATTTGCTTTCTTCCTATCTAAAGCAGAATTCGTTGAGATTTCTAGTCGATGGGGTGGTGCAGATAAACCACGTAGCTATGAAACTATAGTTTGTTACTGAGTGAGAAAATCAAGTAAAGCTCAAGGAATAAGCTACTGATATCACTCCTGCATCTGCTCTGTTTTTTTTGAGCTATGCATCTGCCCTGAATTGTGCATCTGCCCTGAATCTCTGGCCACATATCTTAGGGTAACTAAGCTGACTTGCAGTAAATTATTTAAACTGGGCCAAGTTGATTTTGTCTTCCCTAAAACTGTGTTCAAGTGGTGTTCAGTTGTTCACTCCCAACGGCAGTTATCTTTGGCATGTATGGCGCTTAGACCTGAACTTGAACATTATTTGCAGTTTGCATTGGCAAAATTTCTCTGCACGTTGCACTACAAACGAAGTACTTATCTGCAACTAATTAGTAATTCTGCTTTTGTCCCATTAGACATTAGAACTTGCATCTCCTTAGCATCAGCGATGTTATTCTTCCCTGTTCACATGGTTAGGATTACTCATTTACTGAAAAACATACAGGGATACTTATGTCAAGGAGATGGTTGGAGAGAGCCCAAATGATCGTAATGATAGAGGTACCGAGTTGCTTAATTATATTTATGTACAGTATATCCCATTTCCAGTTATTCTATGTACACTTTATGTATGCTCTGCTCTTTACTCGCCACTTCTTCTCTATTCAGCAATCCGTGTTGCTGCTCGTTGGTACCAGAGTCACCTCGGTGACAGTGCCAAAGTGTTGCTGGTCACAAATGATAGAGATAACAAACGGAAAGCTACTGAAGAAGGCCTAAACGCAGAGACAGGTGCTAGTTGGATAGTCTGTTACATGAAATTCATAGCTGAATCCTTTACAATACTGCATGAATGATTTTATGGTTGCCTCACAAACTATTTCTGGTTCCAGTTGAGTCATATGTACGATCGCTTGCGCAGCCTGGTTTGCTCGATTTGGTGGTTGTCCCAAGTAGCGGAGATGTTGCCATGGAAGATGTAGAAGATCTTAGACCATCCAAAAGGAAAATAGTTTACAATGAGGTATACCAAGCTAGTATTAACTATGCATTTTTCATCCTCACGTTCTTGCTACAATAACCACCTAGTGTCAAATATAATATATGCTACCTTGATATTATTGCAGCATAAACCTATGTCGGAAATTACATCTGGTCTGCGCTGTGGAATTTATCATCAAGGGAAGCTTCGAGTTAATCGTTACAATCCATTTGAAGCATATGTCGGTAGTGAGAGCATTGGGGATGAGATTATTATCCGTGGGAGTTCAAATATGAACAGGTCCTTTGACGGAGATATAGTTGCTGTAGAACTCTTGCCACAGGATCAGTGGCATGATTCGAAGTCATTTATTGCTGATGATGATGGTATGTTGTTCATTTTTTGATGCATCTCATTTTTCTTATCTGATGGATGTTTCTATTATTTCAGAAGATGATAATGAAGATGATGTCCGGTTGGTTCCAAATAGTGCTGATGATGCTCCACGAAACACAAATTCCATGCAATCAACAGTTGGATCATCAGCTGCTTCTGTCCCCAGTCGTCCAGTTGGGCGTGTTGTTGGTATCATCAAGCGGAATTGGAATTCGTGAGTTCTATATGATCTGAATGATATTTATCTAATTATGATCTCCTGATATGTAAAGATGACATCAGAATATGCACAATTCATTCAGTCAATGTGAAATATCAACCCAGAAGGATATATCCTGCTCGTGTTTTTACGTCTATATGCCTGCATGCTGTATGTTGACAGCATATCTGCCCTGCTACTTCACACATGTTGGTTTCAATATTTCGCAAAAAAAGAAGGTTTCAATATTTCAGGCATTTCTTACAATCTTTGGTTGGTTAGACATGACATCACTATTTGTATGTTGCCAAGATTATGCTAATACTTGTTCCATCCAGCAAACTATTTAGTTTATATTGCAACTTCAGTTGTTTTTGTGTATTGTTGCATAAAAATGAAATACTTGTATACTGCAGGTATTGTGGATCATTGGAGCCAATGCCCATGCCTGCTGGTAGCGGGGGCGTTGCTCATGCTCTCTTTGTGTCAAAAGATCGAAGAATTCCTAAGATCCGGATTCAAACTAGACAACTTGGGAATCTTTTAAATAAAAGGATTATCGTTGCAGTTGATTCATGGGATGTCATGTCTCGATACCCATCAGGACACTATGTGCGGACTATAGGAGATATTGGCGATAAAGAAACTGAAACAGAGGCAAGTTTGTATACCTAATTTTTAGTACATCACTTTGTAGGAGCTGCAGTCCAGCCTACGTTATCCAATTAGTTGCTGCATGCTAAGATCATGCATTTGATGCTAGCATGCTAAGATCATGCATTTGATGCTAGCATGCTAACTGATATACACATAATACAGGTTGTCCTAATAGAGAATGATATTAACACAAGACCTTTCTCTACACAAGTCCTTGCTTGTTTGCCGCCTTTGCCTTGGACATTGTCACCTGAGGATGTGGCTAATCCTAATAGGCAAGACTTGCGGCATGTGAGAGTTTTTAGTGTGGATCCACCTGGTAAGTTAATCATGATAAGTGTACCCTGTTCTTTTGCAGTTGAATTGCATTCTTACCATTAAACTGCTATTTAGGTTGTAGGGATATTGATGATGCACTACATTGCACACCGCTTCCAAATGGGAATTTTGAAGTTGGAGTTCGTATCCTTTATCAGTTTACCTTCTAGTATGCAGTTCAAGTCTGCAATGGATGTTAATCTTGTTCTCTTCAATTTTTAACTTGTACTTTACATTTGAGTTAATATTTGCCATCTAATTTCCATTTTTTTTACTCCACGATAGCTTTCATAAATTGTGAGTAGGATCTGTTGCATCTACCTGGGTTTGAGCTCATCACATAAGCTTGATTGTTTAGTTATAACGAAAGAACCAAATCATGTGACTTTGTTCTATATGCTCTTGCTTGGAACAAACTCAATTCCTAAATCCTTTTGGTTGATAGATCATTACTCTTGGTGCGCGGATTGCTCAATTTCAATAGGAATGCCAATTCCCAGAAATACTTTCCTCATGAAAAATTGGTTTGGGGGCATTCACAGTGGTTCATGTGGCATTGTCAATTTGGACTAAAGATTAGGTGGTGGGGCAGTTAATGAAGAGAGAGATGCAGGTTGTATCTCATACTAGATGCCACTAATTTGAGAACAACAATGTTGATTTAATGCTGAAGTATATGACCAATTTAGATACAGCACATTTAAATTGGGATGGTTTTATCTATACATTCGTTTAATGCATTCTCTCACCAATAGATACAAACCATTGCGAGTGGCCAAGTGCCCTGAGCATTGCTGGTGTGATAATTGACTATTTTTGCATTTTTTTTGTTATGCTAGTTCTTGTGTCCAGGGTTCAAACTATTTTATCTCTGCTCTTGACCTTGGGTATCGACAGCTGTATGTTGTCGACAGGATATATATGAGATGTGTTTCTTTCCTATTTTGTTTTATGCTGTTGCTATTGATGTGGAGATTTGCAGTTCTTGACTTGGACTGACCAGATATTGCTGATGTCACTAATTTTGTCCATCCTGGTACCCCTCTTGATGAGGAGGCCTCTCAAAGGGCAACTTCTGTTTATCTTGTTGGACAACGAATTGACATGCTGCCGAAGCCTCTAACTGAAGGTATTGCCTTCATTTATATGGCATGCACACTGAATTACTGATTACTGAATCAACTGCGCCAAAGCATTGCATTGAATTTGATAATACTCACCTTAATGTTAATATGTATGGGCAGAAGTGACTCATTTTTCTTTCTTTCTGAATTTTGTTGTTTTCTAGATGTTTGTTCCCTTCGTGCTGATGTTGAGAGGCTGGCATTCTCCGTCATTTGGGTGAGTCTAATTGTGTTTTTGTGATGTCAATTTATCTGATGTACGAGGATATATAAATGTGGTCATTAAGTTTTTGCTCTTATCGAAAAAGGTTTGTTGTGTGGAGGCTGTCCATAGTCCTTGTGTCCTACTAGCTCTATGATCTCAGAGTCCATACTATATTCAAGCTCAAATGCAATGAATTATTTTTGCACAACTTTCACTAAGCTTTTCCACAAGTGATTTGGATCATTTGTCAATACACCCTAGCCTTTTGGTCATATATATAATTTATTCTTGCAAACTGCACTTTATGTGTAATCTGCGCTAATGCCATTTTCCTCAAACAAAAATCTTCTCCGAGACTCATGAGTGCAGAGTGCGGTGTGCTTAGAAAGTTACTAACTTGTTAGATCCAAGTCATACAATATGCCTGCATGTTGGATTAGGGCAATAGCTTGGCATTTTTTTTATCCCGTGGTATCACAGACAGAGTATTATCGTCATCTGCCTTTGGCATTTCTTCTGTTCATCCTCGTCCGTTTTGAAGTGATTACATCTGTCCCTTTAAATGAGTATATGCTAATTCTTGTATCCTGGTGCTTTGGAATTTTTGGAATGTCATGTGTGCAGGAAATGACACCTGATGCTGATATCATATCTTCAAGATACACAAAGAGTGTTATAAAGTCTTGTGCTGCAATGTCTTATGTGGAAGCCCAAGCAAGAATGGATGACAGGTGCTTTATGGCATTCAGCTGTCTCAGATTGCATTACTTATATGCAGAGATACAATTTTTTGTTGGTCTAGCAGGCCAAAAACATTGTCATAAAATTGATCGTTTCATTCCTTGAAATTTCCAGCCGTTTGGTCGATCCACTGACTGTAGACTTGCGGAACTTAAATTCATTAGCAAAGGTTTGTTCTTGTGTTACCATATCTCGGTCTGCAATAAATATTCTTGTCTGTTACCATGTACTACTGAGTATTATTATTAAGCTTATGTTTTGAATGCTTATGTAGATAATGAGAAATCGACGTTGCGAAAGAGGGGCCCTGACTCTTGCTTCAGCAGAAGTTAAATTCGAAATTGACAGTGAAACTCATGATCCCCTTGACATAGGTATTCAGATTTGTAAACCTGACTCCTGTACTATTTCTATACTTCTATAGATGAAATACTTACACTCAAGTTCAACAGGAATATATCAAATTCGTGAGGCAAACCAAATGATTGAAGAGTTTATGTTGGCAGCAAATGTTTCTGTTGCTGAGAAGATTTTGCAGCACTACCCCTTGTGTTCATTGCTACGGTACACATTTGCTCTGTTATTTTTTATTTTGTCACATTCGGATCAGATTAAGGTACTCTGGTAGTGCATCCAAGTATATCTGAATTTCTAGGAGAACCCTTTGAAAATATTGATCATGTCTTATTCATAATTGAATACATTTTTGGCCTGTCGACCTGTTCATTCAAGTTTATAGAGATAAAGTTGCTTAGACGCCATCATAAAATAACCAATAGCACAGGAGAGTTTAGTCCAATGAGGTAGGATGCCAAAATATTATGTATGTGATTGTGGAGTCTCCTGATGTTACCAAGTTGCATTTATATGATTGCTCATGAACTAATTCTCGATATTCGTACAATATTTTCCATCTGGCACATATTGGCAGCTGTAAACAAAATACATTCAGCCGTTGACTAGTTTGTCCTTGCCAAGGATGGTTTAAGAACTTATTTGTGACTGCCATCTTCTTACACTATTTATGCAACAATTTCAAAGAATGTACCAGTTCTTTCCTACAGCTGCTGTATCATTTAAATTACCTTTTCTGAGCATGCTAATTTTTCTCTGATTGGCATCAGGCGTCATCCTAGTCCAACAAAGGAGATGCTTGAGCCATTACTCCGTACTGCCTCCTCTGTTGGCCTAAGTCTAGACGTATCATCCTCAAAAGCATTAGCTGAATCACTTGATAATGCGAAGGTGAGAATGACCTGTATTATTTTATTCTACGGTGTAACCACATTTAGGTGACAGTCCTATGTAGCTGGGTAATATTTGTTTGGAGCATTATCTCACCTGCCGTTAATGCTTCACATGCAGAGAGATGACCCGTACTTCAACAAGCTTATCCGGATTTTGGCAACTAGATGCATGACACAAGTATGATAGCAGTTTTGAAGTTCAAAATATCCTGACTCACTGATTTCAACTATATCTATATAACTTTATTCTTGCAATACACAGGCAGTTTACTTTTGCAGTGGAGATTTGAGCTTGTCTGAGTATTATCATTATGGGCTTGCATCTGCTCTGTATACTCATTTCACTTCTCCTATTCGCAGATACGCAGGTTAGTTTTTCTTCACCGATAGGTGCTTTGATGCTCAACGATATTACCTGAATTCGACTGATGATTGTTGGACATAGCAAGTATTTATCCATGTTACTTTCTCCGGCTATGAGCTAATTAGTTTAGTTGGGAAGTTCAGTTGGAATAACTATTTTCATGCACCTTTTGTACATAGTGAAAGTTGTTTGTAACACGTTGTATATTCTGTGGACTAAGTTAAAATGTAGAAGAAAGAAGAGGAGGAAACCTATGAAATGTGAGATTGGTGTCTGATTCTACATCTTTCCGATTGCAGATGTTGTGGTGCATAGGTTGCTAGCTGCTGCTCTAGATATTGCGAAACTTCCACCAGTCTTCCAGGATGGTCCACAACTCACAGGCATCGCCGACAGTGAGTGATCCAATGCACTACTGAAGTGGGTCTTTATATGTTTTGCAAGATTTGATACTGACATTATTATCATGTCAGACTTGAATTATAGGCACCGAAATGCCCAAATGGCAAGCAGAGCATCGGTTGAGCTCCACACTCTCATATATTTCAGGACAAGGTACATTTTAATTGTCAATGGCTCTTTTATTTATAAGTTACAGTAGATAGTATGTTCTTAAGACGAGGATAGTAAGAAATGGCTCAAGTCTGTTCGTGGAGTACATATATCATCTGAGTGACCATAGTTAGGATCATTGATACTGCTCTACACTTTTAACTGTGCAGGCCCGTGGATACTGAAGCTAGAATAGTAAAGATCAAGGCAAATGGTTTCATAGTCTTCGTCCCAAAGTATGGATCTCTCTCCACAGCCCCGCTTCCCCTCCTCCTCTCTCCCACCTTCTCAATTATTTGCCAAGTTAGACTAATAATGAACGTCCTGCTCAGAAGTCACAAGTATAAAAGATCACACCCCAGCAAAGTCCTGATCAGTCATCTTAAATTAAATTAGTACCAACTTATTGATGGACCTGAAGCAACCCAATCTAGGATCTGCCAATTGCTATTGCATGGATACTGAGCTTCAATCTTGTTTCTGGTCACTCTGTTGTTCTTAGAAATCTGAGATGGCAGGTCTGCTTAAAAAAATTAGTTGGTTCTAATTGTTTGTAGTTTAATAAGTATTAAGATATTCGAGCATTTGGTTGACACACTATGGTGCATTTTGGTTCCCTACCCCTCGTCAGTGAAGCCAAAAATTAGTAATGGTTATGGAGATTAGCTAGCAGGCTAGGATTTACTTGCTTTCTGTATCTGGTAATGCACCCCAAAATGCCGTACAGAAGTTTCCCAGTTTCTAGGCGTGTAAAAACTGATACAAAATGTGGCCAGCAATTTTGCTGCATGCCAAGATGATGTGGGAAACTATGGCTGGCACATTGATTTGATTGACTAGGCATCCATCCAGCTTCATTTATTGCGGTATCATCTAAACCTGGCGGGTGATTTGCAATCTGTTTGCACCTTCGAATTTCTTATGATGGGATCAACAAATCGATATCCATATACTAATTTGGAGCCGATAAATATTTGGTGCTACGTGGGGCCCACATGTCATGGTCCTACCAGGGATAATTTAAGTCTGCAGGGAAACGAACCAAACATGCCCTGTGTTATTCCTTGTTCTCAATCTGGAGTTTTAATTTTTCCAAATACTTCCAAATAATAGTAGTTCTTCAATTCCAGCATCCTCTGCGATGGGTATGCATTAGCTAGCGCCTTTCTTGTTCTCATTCGGTACTTTTTCGCAACAGGTTTGGCATAGAAGGGCCCATCTATCTTACGGCGAAGGGAGACAAAGGGGCTGACTGGGTAGTAGACGAGGTTCACCAGAAAGTAACCAAGCCTGGAACAAACATAAGCTATGCTGTGTTGCAGAGTGTTATGATCCATATGGAAGTGGTGGAGCCTCAGCCCCACCGCCCCAAGCTGCAGCTCACCCTCATATGAACAACAAATGTATGATTGAATTGTAACATTAGTGCATTCACCCTTTTTCCGCTACAACAGTGTACTAGGTCCATTCTTTAATTCAACAAACATTGGTGATCTTATGATATTGTCAAATCAGCCTGGAATTGCTCTTCACAGAGTTGTAAAAATCTCTCTTTATTGATGCTAAAAATCTAGCATGACCTGCTGTGTTCCCCTTGTCAGTTGCTCATCTCTGGGCAGATCTTATTTGTGTTATCACTTGACAATGCTTGAAACACATTTGTACAAATATGCTGGTGCAAAATTTTCTTGCTGAAGAGATCCTCAGGACACGAGTGACATGAACACCGTCGACCAGATGCAACCAGGTGCGTCCAGAGGAAGACGATGGAGCACTCCTCTTCCCCAACATCAAACAGCTGAGCTATCGTCCCTGCAATACCAGAGGAGCCAACAACTCAGAACACTGGCATCTAAGAGCAGGCTACCGTGGTACGTTGACATACCGATGCTCATGGCCGGGGGAACCGTGGACTGTAGCAGGAGAACGTAACGGTACAGGGGCGATCTTGGCAGGAACCCGAGCTCGCTGGCAGCCTTCACCACCCCGATTCCGCACGCTGGGAGGATGACGAAGCGTATCGCGATGATCGATACGACCACCAGGGGCTTCATCGTCGTCCTGCCTCTGCCTGGCCGTCCGAATCTTTGCAAACATGAGCATGGGAAAAATGCGCAACCCGGGAAAACTGTGAGGAAGTCTCACAGAGAATGAACTTCACCTTTTGTAAGGTTTCCGCCAAGTATGAGGACGGTGCATGGTATGGCGGCATCTCTGCTCGTGTCATCCATGAGAAGTCAGCAGCAGTTGGATATAAAGGATGCAAGATCCAAGACAAGTGCTGCTATGCTATAAATCTGGACCTACGCTAGTAACTTGGCAGTATCTTGGACTACTCGGAGAGGGGCGTCTTCCTCCGTAATGAGCGGTCTCAGCTTGTCGATCGCGCCGACGGTAAACCCTACGAGCTACAGAGCGGTAGCAGTTAGATGCGAATTCCAGAGCTCATTTGTGTGCTCATTGTGGTGCAAAGAGAGTCACATACCGCGGCAACACTGGGAGGTGACCACAGTTCATTCAGTATCTCTACCAGCAGATCCTTTGCTCTTCTTAAGCAGCGCATGAAGCTAGCAGCAACATCGTTGGCAGGCAAGCTAGAACTGACCTGCAACCCAAATTCAGAAAATGTAAGGTTCGTTCATCACTCACACAGGCAACTGAAGAATTTGTTAGCACTACTTACGGGCTCGCTCTCGACATCCTCGTGAAATTCCCCTGACGACAGGGGAAGAAAAGCCGCATGATTGCCATTTTCAGCTTCTCCCGAGTTTTCTTCTTTCGTCAAGTTAGTTGTAGGATCACCGCATTTCTTGTACAGCTGAGCAGATCTCTTCATGACGCTGTAGCTATGAGTCCAGATAAAGAAATTCCCTAGCTGCACGAAACGTTTCTGAATCCAAAATGCACCATGCATGACAGTCCCGACAGAGGAGTTATTCAGGCGCGGCGACGAGCTTACCGCCATGGACAGCGAGACGTAGGAGAGGCCGAGAGAGTTGCAGGTGTCGGCATCACCAAAGGGGCTGTCCTCCTCGCTGCAAATCGCCGGGACAATCATCAGAGGAATGGTTCCCCAGTTACCTGAAAATGTACATGCAGGTTAGCACATAGAAAAGCTCGCTTAGAAAGTCTGAAAACTGAAGAAATACATTCGCCATTTCAGTGTGAGTGGCGACGTGCCTGCTGAGCTGCAAGCAATGACAAGCCCCTGAAGATGTGCTCCTGGCCTCAGGGCCTTGACGGCCAGCCATCCGAGAGTTGCTCCGATGAGGAATATGATGCCCATGTTCACTGGCATGAACCACCTTAACTCATCATCAAGTTCAGAAATGAGCAATCAAATACGTAGAACAGTTTTCATTAATCCATGTAAATATTCTACTAGTGGTAGATAATTCGATCGAACCAGGAAATGATGTCCTTGAGCGTGACGGTGCCTGCCAAGCTCGAGAAGACGAGCGACGGGACGAACACGATGTAAACAACCTGCAGAATCAAACAAAGAAATGGATAGATAAATGGATTGAAATCACTGTTATGTCTTGCAAATCTGTAGCTGATTGATGCGTGGTGACGACCTTGTTTATGTGCCTCCGAGCATCGGAGGTGAGGACGTCGAAACGGCTGGACGCGAGGCAGGCGCCGAGGCCGCCGGCGAGGAGGACCTGCAGAACGGGCAGCCATGCCACGGCGAGCAGAGACCAGAACCTCATCTTGCCTTGCAGGAGGCGACGAGAGAGATCGGAGATGGTTCTGGTGCGAATGGCTTTGAAGAACTGGCCGAAGAGCCCAAGCTGCTGTGCTGTGCTGTGCTGTGCAGTGCTGCCCATGCGGCGGCGCGACCGCTTTGCTGGCTGCTGTGGACGCACACGTTTCTGCTCATCAGGCCGCGCGTGTCGATCGACGCCCAGACCCAGCCAGATGCTTTCCATTTTGCGCCGAGGCGCAGACGACGAAAACGACTTTTGGTTCTTCAGCAGCGGAGACAAATACAAATTTCGTTCGACTGCTCTGTCTTCCGCCTCGTTTCGTCGTTCCAGGCGCAGGAACGAACCGAAAGAGAGAGACGGGCGGTGAGCCACCTGATCTCTGAAATCACCAGGCAGGAGTATATTTCGTCTTAGAGAAGTTTAGTACTCCCCTCGCAAAAATAAATAAATAAGGAAAAACCATAGAAAAATCACACATCATGCTCGCTGGGCTAGCAAGCCGCCATGCGGCAACCATGGTGTGCCTTGTGCCCTCCAAACTCTCTCCCACGCCGGGGCACCCTTTAAGTAGTCGCACCCTTCGATCCCGACCCGACCATCGAAACTAATTACTTATTTCCCACCTTCATTGTACAAGCGAAAAGAGTGAGAGTAAAGCGCACATTACCCCAACCCTTTGAAAATATCATATTACAACCCCGAACTCCGAACCGAAACAAATTACCCCCTAAACTCGTAAAACCATACAAACTAAATTTTGTTTGATTTTTAGACCTCGGCATCCTGAACCCTGTTTTGATGCCACACAGACGGCACATCATCTTGGTGGAACCCCGGGTAACATACCTGAGTCAACTATGATCCGAACAAAATCACAACCCCTTCCATTTTCTCTATATTTCTCGTCGCATCTGTCGTCGTCGTCATAGCCTTTATGGGCGAGCTTGTCACTAGGAAGCTGCACACCATGATGCCCAGAGGAGAGCCACCAGACCCCATCCGAGCGGAGTAAATGACGACTCGATACACTGCTCGTCGAGGGGATGAAATCAATTCATCCAGTGCTAGCTTAGGAAGACGGGATCTGACAGTGAGTGGGAAATGAGGCGGGGGGTGAAGAAGCAGAGATCAATGTTGGATTTGGCGCGATGGGCACATTAAGGTCATATGAGAGAGTGGGAGGATGTGTATAAGGTTGGTGCAACGGTGGCTACTGCTCCAGCCATCGAACCAAGAATCATACTGGAAGGGCGGCGACAGTAGGCGAGGGAGCAGGCGCTGGATGCAGACGCGGTAGTCAGGTGAGGGTGGTGGTGGGAGGTGTGCGTGTGTGTGAGAGAGAGAGAGCCTGATTTCCATGCTTGGGTAAGTTGTGGGACCCACCTATTGAGGAACGTAGTAATTTTAAAAAATTTAACGCACACGCAGGATCATGGTGATGCATAGCAACGAGATGGGAGAGTATCATCCACATACCCTCGTAGACCGTTAAGTGGAAGCGTTACGACAACGCGGTTGATGTAGTCGTACGTCTTCACGATCGACCAACCCTCAGTACTGAACGTACGGCACCTCCATGTTCAGCACACGTTCAGCTCGGTGACGTCCCGCGAACTCACAATCCAGTAGAGCTCGGGGAAGAGTTTCGTCAGCACGACGGCGTGGTGACGATGTTGATGAAGCTACCACAGCAGAGCTTCGCCTAAACACCGCTACAGTATGACTGAGGTGGATTATGGTGGAGGGGGGCACCGCACACGGTTGGGAGAGATCTTTGTGATCAACTTGTGTGTCTACAGGTGCCCACCTGCCCCTGTATATAAAGGAGCAAGGGGGAGGCCGGCCGGCCCTTGTTGGCATGCCAGGAGGAGGAATCCTACTCCTTCCTACTCCTACTAGGAGGGGGAAAGGAAGGAGAAGAAAGAGAAGGAAAGGGGTTGCCCCCCTCTCTCCTAGTCCAATTCGGACCAGAGGGAGGGGGCGCGCTGCCTGCCCTAGGCCGACCCCTCTCTCTTTCCCTTATGGCCCAACAAGGCCCATTAGCCCCCGGGGGGTTCCGGTAACCCCTCCGGTACTACAGTAAAATTCCGACTTTACCCGGAACTCTTCCGATGTCCAAATGTAGGCTTTCGATATATCAATATTTATGACTCGACCATTTCGAGACTCCTCGTCATGTCCGTGATCATATCCAGGACTCCGAACTACCTTCGGTACATCAAAACATATAAACTCATAAAACCGATCGTCACAGAACTTTAAGCGTACGGACCCCACGGGTTCGAGAACTATGTAGACATGACCGAGACATGTCTCCGGTCAATAACCAATAGCGGAACCTGGATGCTCATATTGGTTCCTACATATTCTACGAGGATCTTTATCGGTCAAACCGCATAACACTATACATTGTTCTCTTTGTGATCGGTATGTTACTTGCCCGAGATTCGATCGTCGGTATCCCAATACCTAGTTCAATTTCGTTACCGGCAAGTCTCTTTACTCGTTTCGTAATGCACTATCCCGCAACTAACTCATTAGTTGCATTGCTTGCAAGGCTTATAGTGATGTGCATTACCGAGAGGGCCCAGAGATACCTCTCCGACAATCGGAGTGACAAATCCTAATCTTGATCTATGCCAATGATACGTCTCCGTCGTATCTACTTTTCCAAACACTTTTGC